CACAGCCCAACACAGAGAAAGCCAGCTACAGTCATTTTATTTGTCTTCATGCCTTGTGGTTCACTACACTTGTTTACAATACAAATACACTATTCAATACAAAATACTCAATGACCATATATTAGTATTTTTCTTCATAGTATCCCTGAAGTGCACAGGCCCTTCCTTTACAAAAAATGTTGCATAAACTGCTGTACATGAGACAGACACTCCTATAATGAAGCTTGTTACTAAAAGAAGCCAGATGCGGACAATTCGGATGTTTTCCTGTGACGGGTTTAACTTTGGGGCAGACAAACGGTGATGTCTTTGCTGCTGTGAAAGGCTGTTTTATGCTATTCCTGCGTCAAGGTTCTTGTCACCCAGAAGACAGGCTCAGTAACAGGAGCAGACGTGCAAAGTTAAATCCTTCATAGCTTATTTCGGACTCCTTGCCTCATGCAGTGTGTAACCGACCGTGCCCCGTGGCGCTGCAGCTGCTGGCACGCAGAGCCTGGGTCCTTTTGTGAACGCCCGGGGCGGGGAGGCCGTGGACCTGCCATGCTACGCCCCTGCGGAAAGCTGGCTCAGCCAAATTAGCACTGCCTTTGTGCTTTCCACCCGCCGCACCGCCCCTCGCTACAGCAAGGCCCCTCTCCCGCCTCCGCTCCTTCCACCGCTCCTCGAGGAAGCAGAACCATCCAACCTTCTTGCCTCGCTTCACTTCCAGGCACATGATGGAGAAACAAGGTTCAGTAGCGAAAAGAAAGATGAAGGGACAACTGGAAAGGAAGATAAACAGGCATCCCATCCTGGTTTACCTTCAGCAGCTTACAGAACCAGAAACCTACCTAACCTCTACACGGAACAGGTACCATCCACATGGAAATACGCTGTTTCCAGAGTACGACAGTGGTAGCACAGGATTTCCCCAGTCGTGCTTTACATCCTGTGGATCACACTGCTTCCTGCTTGTCCACTGTAGAGGGAGGAAGACACATAAGACCAGAATGTAAATATTGCCTACGAGGAAGATTAACAGTCTTAAAAATAAGTTCCTTAAAAAACTCTGTATTGTCTCACTAAACTGTATTTTAAGTAAGTCAGACAAAAATGGGTAAGAGGGTTAAAATAGCTTGAATTTTTTTTCTCCTACAACACTGTAAGCCTAGCACAGAGGGGTTTAAAAGGGAATTTGGAATTTACACTTGCCAGGGTGCTTTGGTCTGGTGAGCTCACAGCGACTTAAGCTCCTTCTGTTCCCTGCAGCTCTGAAAACTGAACAGGTAAATCCTTCTAGACACAAAAATTAAAAAAAAATGCCTAGTTTATGACTGGAAAAAAATGCTCTTGTTCATGGTGTACAGCTATAGAAAACATGCTAGAATAAAACTGCTAGAAACTGGAACAGAAGAAACGTGAACTCTGAACCCTTCCAGATGTTGCAAGAGAAATGCTGAAATAAATTGTGACATGCTGCCTTGCACCGAATTTAAGCCACAGTCTCCTTACAACTGTGCTGAGTGACTTACCCCACTCTTTACAGACACAGCGTCTATAGCTACCCTCTGCACTGCAGTCCGTTAGCTTTACCCCAGCACACAGAGCCAAGTTTCTGTTGTTTCCCTCTGCCTACTTGGACTGTCCCTGGGAAAGCCCTTTGGAAGCTTCTTTCCTCCCTCACTAACAAACCGCGGCTGCCGGTGATTCTTCCAAGACAAACCCGTGTGGCAGCTGCAGCCCTCGCGTGGTTACGGGTTAAACGTTACACGGCTTCTGTCAGCCCTTCAGCTAATCAGCGATGGTGCCGTAAGTGGTAGCGCTGAAGTGTGAGTTGCTGCGGTAGGGGCAGAGGAAGCGGGTATCCCTAAGGAAAGCTTTCTTCACATCATCCCAGTGGCACAAATAGAATCTTGCAACGTCACTGGCAATGCTGTGGCAAGAGGACGGAGCTTTAAGCAATGCAATTGCGGAATGACCAGGAAACTCTCCGAAGCAGCCTGCACACAAGTAGCAGAGCACCCTCTGGTCCAGGCAATTAATCCATGGAAATCATTTCTCATTGGTGGTATTGTTTGCTTTTTAAAAAAGAGGACAGGCAAATGCTCTAACCCTGGTTTCTGAGTGGCAAGATTTGATTAGCATCAATGTTCACAAACCAGTTTGTGCAAACTGGGGTGCTGTGCTTGGCCAGCACACAGGGGTACAAACTTAATGCTTGCTGTGGAAGAGCTCAGAAATGTTATGGCTTTTACGTTAAAAATAAGCCCAACTAGACTTCTCAATTCCTAGAGTTAAGAGGGGGGATTTAAAAGCAAACCAAAGCCCAACACAAACAAACAAACAAAAAAACCAAAACCACAACAAGGCATTTTACACTGGAGACACTGGAAGGGTGCTTAAAACCAGCTGCTAGTGCTGAACAGTATCTCAATGCACCGTACCCAGCAGACCAGAGAATTTCAGTAGTAATTCACCATTTCCCCTGACCAGAATTATCTCGTCATGTATTCCATAGGTAACGCAGCAGTAATGTGTTTAGCTCCTTCATTTTTTACAACTCCCATTCTGTAAGAGTATTTCAGTTGAAATTCTATGATAAAATAACTGCACAGCACAAACTGCAGAGCAGTAATTGCGCTATCACCATGGCTGGGCAACGCTTGCCTTTCCCCCTTCACTCCCACAAACTTTTACAATCATCTCTGGCTGCTTGTGCTTTTAAAGCTTCTTTAGAAACGCTACCTTTAACATCATAACCTGGCAGCTTATCTGCATTTCTGCAGCATCAGAGCTGCTGCCCCAGATCGGAGAATTAGTAAATTCAGCTAGTCAAAGATCATTAACTTTGCAACCTTTTGTTCTTGTGTATTCTTTAAGAACGCTCGTCAGTATACAGGTCAGATTCTGTTCTCAGTAACACCTAAGAGGCAGGGCAGCAAAAGCTCCTAGTTTGCTCCTATGCAAAGAGCAGCTAAAGAAAACTGAGGAGCTTCAGCCCTTCTGAAATCGAGAAAGCTGCAATATTTAAATGAAAATTGCTATTATATGTGAATAAAATACTAATGTAAGAAATTGTTCTGGTAGTGCTTACCTCCTGAATTAATCAGCTTTCCTGAGACTCTAGAAAACTACCCCATTGAGTTTACTGAGCTAGAATGAGAAAGAACCAGCGTGACACCAGCACAGCTAGGCTGAATCCCTCCCCAGCGGCTATTTCATGCCAAGAGCTGTGAGCCTAATCACCTTGGAGATCACAAATACTCTCTTAGTCCAAGCTAAAGAAGCCTGTGCGCAGCAGCAGGATGCCCAAAGTGTAACCCTCGCTATCCCCCCCAAGCCCGTGCAGCAGCGGTGCGATGGATCTCTCGCAGCTGAACGTGAAACTGGGAGCAGGCTCTCAACACAAGAGCACAGCCACGTTAACCAACCACCACGCACAATTTTGGCATTTGTCTAAAAAAAAGGGTTTAGTTCTGTGTATCAGAGATGTCAGAAAGGCGGGTTAGGAGAGCACACTACCCCCCCCCACCTTACGGGTTTTTTACAAGGGTGACGGCCCAAACCAAGCCCTCCGATTTCAGTCTGCACACCTCAAAGGTTAGGAGTACGTATATGCAGATTCGGGTTTGTTCCCTTATGAAGACAGGAAGCTTACCTCAATGTTTGGATCCAGGGCCAGATTCAGAGTCACTTCACTGAAACGAAGAGTCTCGGCCTGAAGGACACCTTCACATTCCTTTGCTGATGCTCCAGTACACCCATTTCTATGGAAATAGGCACCCTTTTTTGGATAGCATTCATGCTAAAACAGCTCCTTGCAACCCTAAGTTGAAGTTACTAATGCACATCTTTACACGTGAATTATTTCCTAAATCTATGTTTTGACAATACACTTAACTGGAATATTTTTCATGCACAACATGTACAAAATGAGTCAATGCAGTGTTTGTCTTTAAACCACTATCATACACGTATTCTGTTAACGGAACAAGGGCTCTAAACCCTTCCAACACAGACAGTATCTGGCATCCGGATTGTGGCACGATGTAGTCTTCCGCCTTTATGTTGTTGTTTGTACAGGGTGTGTCAAAGGCTAGTGTAAACCTCTGAGGTATGCAGGTGGCTGTCCATTTTCAGGGCATGGTGAGTTTCTCTCATAACCATGGTCCTTTAAAACTTCATCTTGATTCCACTTGACATGCACAAGTTCCTGACGAAGGACATTCCTACTTTTGCAGGACAGAAGGAATTTTAAAGGGCTTTACTCAGTTTTAGTGCTTAAGCACAGGAAAAAGAAAAAGCAAACGCCCCAGCCAAACACCCTGCCCCCCCCCCGCCCCAGCCTGGAACGCCTCATAGCATCGACACCCATCCTCTATGTCTCCTCTCTCTTCCAAGCGATGCAGCACGACCAGTGTCTTTCTATTGCCCTGCCAACACCCCATAACCACTGTGCATTCAAGGACTTTCGAAGACTGGACTGTAGCTGGAACACAATTTGGGAATGTGCCATCGCATCACCGTTCAGCGCTGTTGTATCCTTTTTCGGTTTGGATAGAGGATGCTCTCCCCAAACCCACTACAACCAGCTGCAGGAGACCTCCAGGTGTCCCACAGCAGCCACAGGTTTGGCACGGAAAACCCCAGACATGAAACACTCAAGGCAGTGAGCCGCGGCTTGACACTTAAGCAGAGAACGCACAACTGAGAAAAGCTCACGGGAAGGGCGTGACAACAACCATGCGTATGAGTCGGTGCAACAGCAGCTGGGCCTTGCAGTTAACATCTGATTCCTGTATCCTCCCTCCCCCTTGTTTCTTTCACTGTATTTGGGCTCTGGTGATTTGAAGCCTCTCGGGTTAGTTGAAATTACAGCTTCGAGGGTGGCACTTTTGGAGCAAGTTGGCACAAAATGGAAGGTAATGCTGTCAGAGCCCTCGCTCGTGGTGTATTGGGTAACAGGACATCTTTTCAAGGCTCAGGGGCCACAGGGGAAAAGTCAAGAAGGTAGAGGGCTCTCACGGCCCCTGCTGGGTTATGTGGCTCTTGTTTCTAAGGACGGGGTCCTCATAACTGCTCGCGCAAGGTGGCGTGGAGGCTTCCAAGGGTAAGCCCTGCTGTTGGTATCCGTAGTTGACATTCCCACAGGGGAAGTGGCGGAGCCTAAAGAGAGGCACTTCTTTAACACTTGCTGTTAGGGAAGATGGCTCTAATAGCAGGGAGGAGCCTGGCAGCCTGCCAGTCACAATGTTGGGCCCCACAGTACAGTTTCCTTCCTGTCCCAAATTCTCCCTCTCGGGCATCTCCTTCTCCAGCAGGGAACTGCTTTTGCTGGCCTGCTTCTCCCCAAACCAGGAACCATATGTTGGATTCCAGAGGTTGGTGGGCTTGTTTCTGGAGCCCCGGCTTCTGTGCAGCTCAGACGGTGGATTGGACTGGGCATAGGCCATGTTGATATGTCCCCCCGCTGAGGCTGACTGCGCCTTCCCCGGCACTGGTGGTTCCAAGGCTCCCACTTTCCCTAGAGGTTTTCCAGCAGTGACGGCTGACGGCAGGGGTGGTGGAGATGGCAGACTTTGCTTGTCATCCTTTCTGTCTTGGTGTGTGGAGACCAAGAGAGGAGGAATTCCTTCTGGATCGTCGGGGCGCATCGCTACCTTCTCCTCCTCCTCAGCTGACGGGCCATATTCTACTGGCAAAGCAGTGTTGATGACATCTGGATCCTGCCGGAGAGAACGATGAGCATTTCTCAAAGTCTGCTACCATCATGCATACTCAGACTTGATTAAAAACCCGACACATCTGGCAGCTGTCGTGCTATGAACACAGACCATCGTTCCCACTACCCAGAGCCCACATTCCATGTGTAGAGGAGGCTGACAAAGTGCAGTTAGCTGTGAGATGTAGTGGGATAACCTTAAAATCAAACTCTAAAAAAAGAGCAACCCTAAAACTCACCACAGAACAGCAGAGGCACAAAAACAACGAAAAACATTTTTTATGTCCAGCCAAATTTCCTGTGGGAATGTTGTTTTGGTACCTATATCATCTCAAAGCTCATAACATTCTCGGATAATATTGAGAAAGTTTCAGCCATGAAAGTATTGCCTCCACACAAGGAGGAGGGAATGGGAATGCAGAGAGAAGGCAATTCTGGCAGTAACCCTTGAAGCCTGAATCCATAGGGACTGCGGTTCTGAGCTATTTAAGAAGTTTTGAAAATTAAACTGAGAGCAAATGTGGTGATCTGGGCAACCTTTAATTGTTGCTAGATGCCATGGCAAGCTATAAATAGCAGAAAACAATGCCTCCCAATTCCAGGATCCAAACACACATGAAAAACGCACCAAGCCTCCCAAACAGCGAGGGAAAGCAAACTGACTGAGGCAAAGACCTGTGTGAGGTCACACAAGAAGCCTGCGCTGATGCAGGCAGCAAAACATCTTCCAAACTACTCCACTCCTCCTAAGCTAAAAATGGTGGTAATAAATAAATAAATTATATTTCAGCCTGGAAAGCCAGACACTTGTTGCCTATCCTTAGAATCCCCGCTCCTTTAGCATGGCTGTCTCCGCCTGCCTTCTGCAGCAAAGTCAGATTCAAAAAATTGCCGAGAGCTGCAGAAGCCACCTGCAAAGTGTGCTCTGAGCCAGGACCATTTCTGCTCAGTGCTGCCCATGTCCTAAGGGTAAACACCAGCACGGACTGGGTGACACAAAGCACGTGAAGCGCGTACAGGTGCTGGCCTGCCTTAGCTCTTTTGCTTGTTGCAATCTGTGCCTCTATAAGCAGAAGCAGAGCTACAGGACTGCTATTTGTAAAGCTGTATGAGCCTGAGCCTTTCAAGCAGTGAAAGACAAGAAGGATCAACCACCGGACGAGGTGAATGTCCCAGCCACTGGTCCCAGGCTGACATCAGTCTCCCTGGACTGCTGACTGCAGTAATGCAGAGCTGCCTTCTCATCTCGTGTTCTGGCTGGCCTAGACCGCTCCTCAAGTAAAGCCCTCTCCACTCATCTCATTTGAGACAAATGAACACCAATACCTGAGTGCAGTACTCAATTCTCTCCAGGATTATGGCAAAATTTGGCCGATCTTCAGGCTGGTGCTGCCAACACTGGGTCATAATGCGGTAACTGAAAGAACAGAACGGGAGATGCTCATAAATGGCAGATCCTGTTGGTACATAACAGCTAGTCACTGCAGCTTAGAAACCACAAGCACGCATCACCACTCTGACTTCCAATAAATAAGACTGCTCTGCCTTCCCCAGAGTTGGACAACTGATGCACTTGCAACCACTGAAATGTGGCCACCAGTGGGGTGAAATCCACAGCACATCAGAGAAATAACTCAGCCACTCGAAATCCCTTGGACAATTCATTAAAGGGCTACAGCTAATGTAGCCCAGTTTTCCCTACCTGTGAGCAGTCCTATGCACCTGAAGTTTCCTAGCTAACCTAAGACACAGAAATATTGTGGCATCTTTGACCAAACAAGCAGTGGCCAGTACTTCTCAAAGTGGCCCTGAATTATTCTCCAAAACAAAGCAAAAACTTAAATAGTAGAGAAGTCACTGGCACTCAAGTCCGATAACGCAGATCAGCCACAATAAGATAAATCTTAAAAGCCATTAACTTTTGAAACAGAAACTTATTTGCATGAATAGGTCAAAGTTAAAATCTCATACACAGGGCCAGGGCAGTTTTTAGGTGGATCCATCCTTCCTCCATTGGTGACGAACTCCAGAACCTCCTGGTTACTTTTGCTAGGGTAGGGCATGTACCCCAAAGAGAATATCTCCCACAGCAACACGCCAAAGGACCTGAATACAGAAGCAAAAAAAAAAACAAAGTGAAGGATACAGGAATGACCATCACTGAGGGGCAATGCCCTTAGGTGCAGTACCGTCAGCATTGCTCTTTGCAGCCTGTGGTCAGGCAGCTTGTGGAAATCACTGCTGCAGGATTCAGACATAAATAAGCTGCACAGTTGTAGTGGTGGACTTTGAATCATTTAATGGATACCAGTAGTTGACTGTTAAGTTAGTGAAGTCTATGACACAGGTAGGTAAATATGGTTGCTTTGCCCTTGTACTCAGCACTGTTCAACTAGATGTAACAAATGTGAAAGTCAGGTTATGCTTTTCTGAGACATCAGCTGCTGCTGGAGACAGGACTGAGTGGAGCAGTGCCCTGATCACTTATGACAAACTTTTCCTCTTGAATAAGCTGCCCTGTGTGAAATAATATGCCAGTGAACCCCCACAGCCCCTACCTGTAGCTCGGACTACGATAAAAACATTCCCTAGCTAACACCACAGCCCTGGGCCTGTGTGGTGTGGCCTGCCAAGTTCTGGGGACAACAGCTGGGACAGGACCCCCTCCCAGAGCATTCGTCCAGTCAGCTGCTTGGAAATCATGGTCTTGATTAAAATTGCAAAGAGCTATCTGCAGCAATGGGAAACTCAGCAGCTCAGCCGTATGAGCTGGTGTACCTCTACCCCTCTGCTGGGGCTTGCTCAGGAGCTGTGGCCTGACCACCAGCCCCTTCCCCTCCACACACATCCTGCGCTCTTGCCACCTGCTCACCCAATTTCCCTCCCCCTCCTCTGGCCACCAACAACTCAAGAGCTGTGCTGCTGCAGGCCAGGAGAAAGATGAAAGCCACAATACATGATGCCCTTCTCCCTCACTGGCAGGATGGATCCTGCCCGCAGTCTCCCGTGCTGCTTTCCTCAGTGTGGAATGAATGCTTTCCTCCCTGTATCAGCAAAGCAGCACCTGCATCTGCCTCAACCTCCCTCCCCTGCCTGCACACCTCCCCAGCAGCACCCGCCTTTGCACAGGTCTGACCTTTCAATTCCCTTGTCTCCTCCAAGATTACTGTCTCTGAAAGACCCAGCTTGTCTTTTTAGTAAAGGAGAAATGAACAAAACATGTGTTTTTTACAAAATCTTCACACTTTACAAAAGGTGTTACAACAGAGACAGGCAGACCAGACAGAGGAGGAATGGAAGCGCACCATGTGTCTGTTTTTGATGTAAATATCCCTTCCATGAAAGCCTCAGGAGGCATCCATTTGACGGGCAACATTGCACACCCACCCTTCCGATAGTAGCTGGCTCTGCAAAGCACAAACAAAACAAAAAGTCAGCCAAGAATTCAGCAAATGCCATTAGTTAGTGATTTTTATAATTACAAATATTAAAATTATGAGGCAGAGGAGAGACTAATTTAGGTGAAACAGCATGAGGCAGAAGATGCTGAAGAGACCCGTTCCTTCTCACAAAAACAGTGGAAATGGGCAGATCATGGAAGCGCTGCTCTAATCTACCGTGCTTTAGGCCTGATCTGATGAACCCAAGTTATCCTTACCTGTGTGCATACTCCCAGTGAACTACCCACACAGTAAACTGCTGCTGGCTGAGCCATCCTTCTGCACTTTTCAGCCACAGCAAGATCTCCACCTCACCTCACACATGGTCCCTTGAGCATCCCCACCAAAAATAAAAAAAGCCTGTCCCGTATGTACCCAGTCTAAAACACTGAAAGTGAAATCCAAAAACCTTTATAAGAATGAGGAGCTTGATGAGGAGGATGCTTGGCCATTAAAGGGCACTAGTACAAAAACCACCTCCCCTGCTCCTGAGATATAAATTACATCAGTCCTTTAGTGTGTCATTTAAAATAACACCTACAAGCCCCAAATCCTGCGCTGGCAGCTGCGGGAGGCTGCTCATGCAAGCTGGTATCACTGTTTGTAACTACACAGCCTGAGCACCCAGGATTCTTGGACACAGAAACACGTGCAAACTTCAAAGGCACCTTTGAAAACTCAGCACCAAAGCGTTCATCTTGGCAGTCAGTTCTGCTGATTGTGTGAGTGTGACAGATGCTACTTTGTCCCAGCAGAGTCCCATCTGACAGTGGGGCAGAGTGGGGGCTGTTTGTAAAGGGAGAGGGAGGAAGGGAAAAAAAAAAGGCAGCTCATACACTTGAGTTTTTGAAGGTAGCACTCTGCATCACCTCAGGCTGTGATAACTGTCAGATCTCAAGCTAAGCAGAGCCAGGCCTGGTTTAATAATTGCACAGGAGAATCCCCAAGCAGGAAATAAAGGCGGCGAGGCACTGGAATAAACAGTGTGGGTGACTGAGTACAAGGCATTCCTTCCTCCGAGTCAGAGGCAAATCAATTCCTCAGCACAGCAGGACACGGTGCTGCACTTCTGGAGGTGCTATCTGGAAGATGAGATATCAAACTGCAGCCCTCACTGCTCGTGGTCATTACGGATTTCCTGGCACTTCTTGCAAGAGCAGAGTAGTTAACCCTGTGTCCTGGCTGAATTCCAGTTTGCGTGATTACATTTTCCTGACCTTCATCTGCACTTTCCTCCTTTATCTGCAGTAAATTGAGGAGATTTACTGATGACACCAAACCAAAGGGGCAGGGGTAGTATCAAGGAGAGAGATTAAACTCAGAATGATTTGGCACCACAAAACAAAAGGGCACATCAATGCCATTCAATGTGGAGAAAGTGAAGACAAGAACCTGAGGACAGAGTACAAGAGGAAGGAAAAATGCCTTCCATGACCACCAGACTTCATTACCCAGAAGAAAGCTGTCAGGAGTGGGAAAAGTCTCCAGAGCACAGTTAAACTACAGGTGAAGGCAAACACCAAAAAAGCATTAGCTGGGATTCATCAGGGTGGGTCTCTCCCCTCTTGCCTTGCTAAGGTTATGCAGAGCAGCACACGAGCCTGCACTCCTGCACAAACAGCTCCTCACTCATTTTAGTGAGCTTCCATTTGCGGATACCCTGGGCTTAGCTCTGCTACCTGTATATATCCCGGGCCATTCCAAAGTCTCCAATCTTAGCCACTCTCCCAGGCCCTCGACAGGTAAGGAGACAGTTCCTGGCAGCAATATCCCTACAAGGAAAGGAAAGAAAAGCAACAGAAAGAGAAGAACCACTTAGTCATTTGACAATTTTTCAAGCCAAAAAGAAAACAAAGAATAGTATCTACTTTCCTGAGCTGCAGAGAGCCCACAACAGCCAGAAAAGTCAGTGTTTCTGGAAAAATAATGGTGTCCCAAATCCTTATCTACCCCAACAGCAGGAGCAGTTTTGCTCTTCAACATTTTCTCTTTAAACATCACGTAACATCTTCCAGCTGAAAGAATGGGCCTCCTGTGAGCCTCCCTTCACCCCAAGAGCTATTTTTAAGTCTCTAAGGAGTTGCAAGCAGTGGGGCTGATTTCAGCAATGTACTAGTTGCAACATCAAGCTGTCTGGGGAATGATTCACTGATCCGTTCCTAGCATGCTTGTTCAAATATTGTCCAATGGGTGTTGTACTGTCAGAGACAAGAAGAACAACAATATGCAGGTGAAGGTATGGCCTGAATTTGTGTGCACAGGTAAAGCTCCAGCTCCACATCTGCTGGGCTTAAGTAAACCTTGAGATCTGAATAACATGGTGGCATACCTTGTGGGTAACTCTTTCAGAAGAGGGAACTACAATCTCTCCCTACTCATCTCTACTCAATGGGCAGAATTTTAGACACTTGCCAAACACCCTGTTCTGCAGGAGCAGAGTCACAGGGTGTTGCACTTCTGGCTGTACTTGTACAGCCGGTCTTCAAGAGCGAGAAGAAAAAGGTTCCAGAATGAGCAGAAAGGCACTAAGCAAAATTCATGAGGGGGGAGAGCTTTGAAGACTTCTGTCATGAGATTGTGCTTCCACTTGCAGAGTAGCCAAACAGGCTGCACAACTGCAGGCACTGAGGCAGAGCTCAGGATCTTTGGTAAAATGACAAACCTCTGAAACCTGACTTACAGCAGCTTTTCTGTTAAGTGCTTCTATCACTCTGATTTTATCTACCTTTTTTAAAGGTATCCTGCCACTGGAGTGCAGCAGGACATAAACATGTCAAGCAGGGCACTATGAGTCCGTGCTGGCCCATTGCAAGTCACGCCCATACTGACACAGACGTGTTCACCTACCTGTGAATGAAGTGGTTCTCCTCCAGGTACTGACACCCACAAGCAATGTCACGAGCCACGTGGAGCAAGTCCAGCATGGAAAGGGAGGAGGGCTGATTCTACCAAAAGACAAGGGACAAAGGTCAGTTAAAAGTAAGAATGTGGTATGATTCGTCACTGATTCAGTGCTGGGAACTCTGCAACAAGTGACACAGCTCAGATGTTAATACACAAAGGGATTACAAAAGTGCGCAAGAGAGAGTTCATATTAATGAACTATGCAAAGGATGTGCAGGCACAATGTCATACAAACCCCAGGGACAAAATCAGAACAGCTGGATCCGACTTTCGAATTCCATTGGGATGCCCCGTAAGAATTTCCCTCAGTTCTCATGGGAGATGTTTCGGAATTTTCAGAATGATTTTTGAGATCTGTAGCCTGAACTGGTCCTCACTCTGTTTCTTTGTATCACTGCTAGCTCCTCTCTAAAGTCACCTTGAACAATGAGAATGACATTTTGGATAATGGGATGAGTCACATTTGCCCTTTCCCTCCTCCACATCTGTGTAGGTTTTATCTTGCCCCTCAGAGCACTGACACGGGTTTTCGTAGCCAACGGCTATGGCAGACCAAGGCTGCCAACTCCTTGTTCCTGCCCCTCTGATGAAGCTACGAGCCCTTGCCAGCAGGAGCCAGATGCTGTAGCGAAAAGGGAAGGCTTAGCACCAGCTCGCGTTTGCTGGCCTCTGAAGCCAAACCATCAGCTTCTGCACAGAGGCGTGAATGGGTCCCTGCGGCCAGTCCTGCGGGGGAGAAGTCACTGCTGCCCGTGGGGTGATGACAAACAACTGCCGCCGGGTGGCAGCGACTGCTTATCCCACAGCAGCCGCTTGCTGGCTGGACCCAGACAAGCCTATCCTACCCTCTAGCTCTCCCTTATGGCACCTACCACTCTGTCCAGTGCCCAAAAGGCACCCCTGCCCATGGGTGTCTCCCACCAATGCACAAACCAACGCGGGGTCTCCAGTGACAGGGACTGCTGGCTCTGCCAGCCTGTCTGTTGTGGTGAAACATATCTCCAGACTGATGTGACGCTGTACTGGCCATCCCACCTGATCTAAACCACTGCTAAATGGGACAGGAAAGAAGTCCAGGCTCTGCAGCAGGCAGTAGCTAAACAGTGGGCATTGGGTGGTAAAACCTAAAAAACCTCTTAACGTCTTCTGAAGACACTAGGAAAAACCTGGCCTTAAAACTTGCCTAATGAAATAATTGAAAAATGCTGCATCTCTGCGTGAACAAAGCTTGTTTTTTTTAGTGCAGTGCCATAAAATGGAACAATTTATGACTATGTATCACCTGCATATATTTACACAGTATAGTTCATTGCATATATATATACTTAACCAATTCTTTAAAACACTGGACAGCGTCTTCCCCTAAACCTTTCTTTTTGTAGCCATTTCCTGAAAACATAAAGCGCCTCAAGCCTCTTTGCCCGCCCCTTTTGTGGGGAGGGGGGAATATCTTTTTTACCTCTGTGAGTTCAAGTGACTCACCAGCTACACAAGATGGCTGCAGTAGGAAAGGATGCAAATGCCTTCTTTTTCCCTTTCAGGGCATAACCAAAGGGAAATGAATATCTCGATCTACCCATCCCCTCCTCTTCTGAGCAAGGGTCAGAAACCTGAAGTGAAAACTGAGTAAAAAGCCTCATTCTTTACTGTGCAATCGATTCCAGACCCGAGCTATACTGCAAGGCAGTCAGTAGGCTGAAGCTACAAGCTGATTTGAACAGCGTAGGTTTTTTTCTCTTTTCCCCCTTTTTTCCCTTTTTTCCCCTTCCTTCCCCTCCTTGGATGAATGCCTTCCACCTTTCATTTGGCTAAATACAGTCCTAAAACAGATGTGACTACCCAGCCAAGGACAATTTAGCCATGTAATTTGTTTGAAAAATGGAGGTTTGGGATTCATTTTGCAAGGGGAGCAGCCTTGAGACACCAAAGGATTCACTTTGCAGCTTTTGCTCCCCAGATGAATGGATGATGCCAGCTGCAATGCACCGCTGCTCAGGGCAGCGCGCACACTGGAAGCACTAGTGTGACATCTCTCCAGGTGAGGCTGCGTCTTGCTAAAGATGAACAAAATTCTGCGTATTGTTCAATGTAATCACTGCTCTGTGCAACAGGCTGTAGAACACAAAGGAGGGGAATCATTCATCCGTATACGATTTATCTTCCAGAGCTGTTCTTTGATTGCTGTGCTGTGAGTGAGAAAGATCAGATCAAACTTCCCAAAATGGACAATTCTGCAAAGCTCATAATGAAGCCTCAGATTCCATACATCTCTGAATCTACCAGACTGCCTCTCTCCAGACGAGAGAAAAGGGGTAATCCTGTAATAGATGTGAAACTTCATTCGAAATGGAACACAGAAACTGTTCAGGGCAGTAAACCCTGGACCCGTGGAGAAGTATAAATCTGAAGCTTTCAGAGTAGACCTGGCTGGCATAAATCGACAATGTTCCACACGAGTTGGTGGTATTGTATCAGTGATGTTGGATGAACATTTGGCTTACACGTGTGATCGTTCTTGCTTAGCAGCCAGAAAAACCATTATGCATTGGCTGAATATGGCTTTCATTATTTACGTGAAAAGCATGTAAAGACAAACAACATACAATAACCTGGACTGTCAGCACCTTGATCTTCCATTAAGTTGGATTCCATGTTTTGATACCTCCTGTGGTAGTTCTAGCTTCTCATTTAATGTCCCTTGCAATGTCTGAAGTTCCCCCTTCCCTCACTTCACCTTCTCCTCCACCATTCCCTCGGCTCCTTTCCAAGCTTTTCAGTGGCTGAGTGCACGACATCATGTCTCGCTCCAAGTCACACAGGTTCTTGCTGGCCAGCAGCAAGCCAAACAACACAACTGTTTTGCTCAGTGGTCACTCCAGCATGGTGCTTTCTTTTTCCTTGGAATTTCCTTTCTTTTGAAGCCTTGGAATTACTGCCAATTAATACCTTTCACACTTGTATTATATTTGAATGAAAATGGCAAATGAATTTGAAGTTACTGGCAAGGGAGTGAGGAGAGCAACTCAGGGATAAAGGCAGAGAATGAACACGTAAATCTCTCTTTTGCAATCAAGCTGAAAGCAGAAGTATATGGGAAAGACAAGGTAGTAAGGAAACCAAGTGGAAAATACAAAACTGGAAAAAAACAAGGGGAAATGTCAACAGTAATTCATAGGGTGCTCACCACACAGTAAGCAGTGCAGCTCTGTTACTAAGTCAGTCAGCTAGGTCTTGTGTGTTGAATTAATTCCTGTTGGAAGCAAAGCTCATCGAAGCCTGTTTACTCTGCACTGTTCCTTGTCTTTGCTTTCCTTTAATGGGCCTGGGAAGCTAGACATCCCGTCTGCTATGGCTGCCTTCTGCTTGTCTTCCTTGAATGAGCAATAGGAGGAATAATGCAGCGCGGGGTTCATTATCAGCAGCGCAAAGATACATCTGGCAGTACTGAGCCACGGGCCTTATGTACAGACACTGTCACACCTCAAGTATATGCAGAGGGTAAATCCACTTCCACAGCTGGATCCCGTACTTCACTGAGCACAACACGCCCCCCACATCTCATCTCTCATCAGTCAGTCTCCTAGCCTCATAGTTTCTGAGCCAGCATTCAAACATGTGCACCAGAGGCTGATTTTTCAGCACCCACAGGTGCCGTTAGCCCCTCTGAAGCTGCCCCAGCAGCCAGACGACGAATTACCCTGTCATTCTAGCCAGGCAGCCACCACGTGAGACGGTAGCAGAAGCAGGGCAAGGCAAGAGGAGGGAAGGTATTAGAAATGGAGCAGAAACATGTGGATCTGTGTCTGCGCACAGTCAGGCTGTCTACATTCACCCAACTGTCAAAGAGGGACTGAAAACTGTTTTTCTGAACCAGTTCCAGATTCCAGCTGCCCATCTGCACTTGAAACTCAGCTTTCCCAAAGCGTGACAGGCATGGGACAGAGCAGAAAATAGCACCAGTCCCAGGTCTGCTTCAGTCCTGGGAGCAAGTTAAATGCAGAAATAGGGGAGGAACTTCAAGGTGCTGGGAACAGACCCTGTTTGTGGTAGTAGTAGTTATGGTCGGTCTCATATAACCTCAAACAGGTCAGGAAAGACAAGGAAAGAAGCAGAAAGGAAGGAGAGACTGTGAAGGCAGAAAGAAATATCAAGGAAGTAATGTATGCTGTGCCTGGCATGAACCATCCACCTCTTCTGACATTAGGGTTTCACAAGGGTTGTGCAGAGCTACTGCTAACAGAAATGGAAGCCCTGGCATGCAAGGAGGAACACATGGCTGGGGTACAGACAAACCCCTCAGGTCAGAAGGCTCCCATGACTGCATCCTATAAAGATTAAGAGCTTTTCATCCACAAAAGCAACTGGTTCATTTTACTGCAAGCAGAAAACTGCTGTTCAGGACTAATGTTCCTGGTGCTTCCTCACAAGATCCTGATAGTTACTGAGCTGGCTTCTCTCTCTAATTTAATGAGCCAAAAGATGCTTGCATTGCAAAGTGATGTATACCCTTGCCTTATGCTATCATGTTTCACCTGCCACTTCACACATCTAGCACAGCCTGTACTGCAGCTCTGAACAAAGCATCTACCAGGCAGCATACCTTGCCCATGCCATTTTGCTCTGCACTGGGTGAGAGTGGAGCCCACATTGCAGACCATGAATTTCCCCATTCACCTACCACCAAGTTCATCCCATTTGTATAAGGTAACAACAGCACCTCTAGGTGCTACAGAACACCAGCCTCTGTTTATAAAGAGTACTTGCTCAGGGTTCAAACATCTTGACTTTCTGGGTTGTCAGCCTTCTTATCCAGGCAGGAGACACTTTATTGCAACCTTGTCCAAGGCTGCAGGGCTCCTGAGCAACACAGACCATTTTATGTCTGAAAACCAGACTGCAAGGAAAAAATACAAAGCTGATCTGTTTCCAGATGCCTCAAGGAAGAATCTTATTTATATCTGTTAGAGCTAATTTGTGTCTCTCCTGTACTGATAAAATCCAGCACTTTACCCCGTGTCAAAGAAATGTAGAGAAATAGAGAAAAGCATGAAGCTGGGCCCTGGTGCTAAACTTCAACATCTGGGTGCCTTTATGATGCAGGGACTCAGAGCAAACTTTATTCTTCTGAAATACTGATTCCTCTCTAGAAGTCATAATTTATTTCTCATGCATTTCTAACTGACTTTCATTTCCTATGGATGCTGATTTCAGTGGGAAAATCTTTACAACTCTGGACTAAAATATTTGGTCCAGGCCAGATTCCCTCCTTGCCTATGTCAAACTTGCACTGACAGATATCCACAGAAACACACCTGATCAGCAGTTTAAAATACAGATTTATCATTACTAGCCCAATGCTTCCCCCCAACCCATCCCCAGCTGGTGTGAGAAGGGAAGAGTCGACTAACTTTTTTTTTTCTTAATTTTGATTTTTTTTGTTCTTTAGATAGTACCTCCAATGCTATCTAGAAAACTCCAGGGATCAGGCACCTCTGCATAACCCCAGCAGCACCTGTTCCCTATCTGTGTCCTGCCCCCACAGCAGTCTTTTAGCAACAGAAATTTTCTGACCTTCTGAAATGCTGGGAAATAGTAGCTGCATGGATCAGCTCTTTTATAGTTATGTATTTGCCTTGTGGCAGCAGCTTACTGAATAAAATTCAATTTTCTCTTTTCTTACCGGTCTAGGCCGCGTCTCTCTCAGGAACGATTTCAGGTCACCTCCAGCCATGAGCTCTAGCAGGATGAAACGGGGAAGTGCCTGCAAGCTCACCCCGATACAGCGCACTATATTCTGGTGGTTGAACTTGCTGTGGAGACAGAGAGACTCAATTATGGAGAAACTTTGATCCAAAAAGCACAATTGCAGAAAAAAAATCAAAATGTTTTGCTGTGGGGAATGTTTTTTTTCCCCATAAAGTAACAAATCTCAAAGGTAGGGTAACTGGGTAAAGCTAAGTGCTGCATTCTGTGTCTGTCTGCATAGCACAGAAACAGAGATGGGGAAGGAGTGGCCTTTGGCTGCTTTTCCTCTTCTTGTATTCTGCATCCTTTTTGGGCTACAGCAAGATTTGAGGGCCATAGGAAGCAGAGAATGTCTGATAATAAAGTGTGCTCCTAATTTTCCTGTCCAAGGGCAGAACCTGGGCTAGGGCTGAGTTGTTCCAAACAACATACTGATAGAGGGATCTGCTTATGTAAGAGATATTCCTCAAGGTCTAGTCTCTAATACTGCCTTATTTCTCCAGACCTCAATGTGACGGGAAACTATTTGCATGGATTCTAGAACTCAGTCACTGACATGTGACATGACAGCAGCATTAAGTCAATGCCATCTGTTAGTTTTTAACTAGTCAAAACCGAACTCCTAAGGTTTGTTTTTACCTCATGTTCTGATCTCTGAGACAAATCAAAGGATCCTATTATCAATTCTGAAAACTGGGCCTAAAGATTTTAACTTTGGATAATGAAAACCAGTGTGGATCCTCTTGAAAATGTAGCCCTTAATCATCTGGTGCCTCATCATTTGTAAGAAGAATAGAAGAGGATGGTAATACCTATCCTCTTTGTAAAATACTGACAGCCATGGTCTAAAACTACTGTGTAATGTGTTGCGCAGACATCACCTCTCAAAGCACCTTTTTTCTTTACAGTACTGGGCTTTGCAAGCCTACACAAATGATGTGCATCTTATTCATACACACCTAATAATGAGAGCTTCCATGAGGAAGTCCAGCTCATCTTGCTCTGAACACACTTCTGGCAATGTCTGGAAAAGAAAGAACAGGTTGACAAGGAGAAGATATTTAAACTTAGAGACGTAGAACACCTGGCACAGTGAAAAGCAGTAACATAGTCTGCAGCAGTCCTTATTTCTCCAAAAGAAATCTTGCTCTAAGATAATAGGTAGACCATTACTAAACACAACTGTGAAGACTGTTGAAAGGTAATCAGAACACGTGGCCCATTAACACCACTGTCACCCTCCTTCCAGCAAATTAAATAGCCCAGAGTGTACAGGGAACAATGCTCAACGTATGGGGGACAAGGAATAAGATCACAGTTCCTGAGCTCTCTCACAGTTCAATACTCCTACCTCCCAGCAAGACTATGAACTATAACCAGCAGTAGGACTGTGCTACCAGGAGAAAACAAGCTAGTTAGACTGCTGAAGGCCTAGAGAACCCTATCAGGCTCTCTTAGGATTTAGCTTCACATCCAGTGCCTATTCATCCCATAATGGAGCGGTGAGATCCCTGGAAAGCCAGCCATCTCCTACCTGAAGGCTCTTTGGTGTATGTGCCAGCTGCTCTTGGCCCTGTGAAGACTTCTGGCCTCTGACTCAAAGGCTTTGGACAGATTACCACACCAGGTTTAGCATGTGCAGGACAGACAGAGGATGGATTTATTTCTCATACCTGCAGTCTACTGCAGCTGTATGGGAAATCTTTGCCTATTTACTACTTACAGATCTCTTTTAATAGTCTCACGACTCCATATGTTACAAGCTGTACCATAGCTATGATGGATTGAAGTGTTGCAACAGAGCAGCAACCTTTCTAGCCACATCCTTCAGTACTATAGTAATGCTTAATTCATCTTTATTTTTATAATGCATTGGGACTTTCGGGTGAAAGGTGCATGAAACCATCATGATAACTCATACACTGTCACTTACTTTCACAGCCACCTGCAAGGGAGTGGGGTCGCTGGGGATCCCTGCCACCTGACCTTCATATACCTCACCAAAGGCTCCGTGGCCCAAACCCCTGGACAGACCAGAGAAGACAAGAAGGTTTTACTACAGAGAACACACATTATAACACTGTGGTCACAGCTCACAGAACGGGCTCAAAATTTTCATGGCAGTGAAACAGGGAGAACTGGGTATTGACACTGATGATACCAGTCCTCACACTACGCAGAGGACCAGACCTTGATGTGATCTTTCCCAGACCTACAATGTATTTAAGTGGTATGTAAAGCAATCCTCAAAAGTGAACAGTCCCCAGTGAAACCAAGCTGCTAGCACTGCAGTGTGTAATGGATAGCACTCTCCTATGGCTTTGGTGTCAGTGCTGTAGTGGTGGGCGCTCCAAAACAGCTCAATAAAGATAGGTCTTAAGTCTTGGTGTTCCCACACCCTAAACACATTAACAGTTCCCATGACATTTATGCATCACCATAAAAAAAAACAACAGTGAACAAGAAACTAGGAAGCACAATGGTTCTCAAAGGACCTGAATTCTAAACCAAATATATTTTCCTGATTTATTTTGTGATTCTGGGTAAGTACCTTAGCCAGCAAATGGTGATAGTAGTGCCTTGTAAAGTGCTTGGCTCTAGGATTTCGTGCTGAGAATCGTTTCTGGTACTGATCATATTATGAAATTTACAATTTTGTTTTGAATAAGGGTATAAGAAAAAGAGAAAGGAATTAAAGTAGTAACACAACAGAGTCTGTGCTATGTCCTTGGGACACAGATTTTGCATACCTGTCTATTCAGTCTTCAGTTGCTTAAGTTAAGTCAACTGGTACAACAACAGCTATACCACACAGGAGGCATGTCATAACGACACAGTGAACTCTGGCAGAGAATGAGGCTGCATCCCAGATCCTGAGTCCCTCTCATCCTTACATGGGCTGCACATTGGGCAGTAGTAGTTCAAGACTCTAAAAGTCATTCCTGCATCTCGATCCGGGTAAAAGGCTCTCTTCTACAACAAGCACTTATCCAGTAGAGCCAGGTCTGGCCTGAGAGGTGCACTGATCCTGTTCTCTGGTCTATTGGTGGACTGGTTTTGCACAAGCTGTTGCCCTCTTGCCCATTCAAACAGGTGCTGCGAAGGGCAATTTGCCCTGCTTTTGCATAAGCTCTGCCTGTAGTTTTGCCAGAATAAAGACCAGTCTAGGCAGTGAAACCACAGCGAGGACTTGTGTTGCCTGTGACTCAACCACTTCTTTTAATAACATTTTGTAGGTATCAGCTTGAGACACTATTCTTGGCTATGCCTGACCAACTTATTGCAAACTGAGGGTATAAAACAGATCTCTACAGCTCATAACTCACCCTCCTCCCAAAAAGTCCACCTTCCCTGCCCTTTGCAATTCCCAACTGTATCCTCTGCTCTCTGCAGCTTGCCACACTTCAGAAGTCCTTTCAGAGCCCAAGTGACAAAGGCAGTAGCAGCACAGGGTACATTGGAAACTTCCAGATGCAGTCCAGCAAGAATTGCAGGTAAGGAGGAATGAGGTAAGAGACAACAAAACATTGCAGACCACAGAGACTGCTCTGAGCATCACCTTTTTTGGCACCCTAGTCTCCCAAGCTTTCCTGCTTCCACTTCTTGGCTTTTTGTGTAAAACTGCATGGTACCAGGGTAATCTCACATTCACAAGTGGCATGCACTGTATCCTGCAGTAGAGCAAGGTGGGAAAGAACACTGTTTTCAAGTTTTTCTTAAGAGACTGTTTTGAACTTTCAAGCAGTTCTGATCTAGACATGACTATCCTGCTGGCTTTACATTCCTGTCTTTTTAATACTGTCCGGCAGCCTCAAACTCATTGCTTTTCCTGCTATTGTACTTAAGGATGTAATTGTCTTTACCAAAGATCCCATCAAAGACTTTAAAAGAGCCTCCTACAAGCCTCAGCCTTCTCAGCATTTCATCAGTTAATACTGGAAATGGGCCATTCATTACACAGTCTGCAAAAGATCTGTCTGAATTACTGGTGATGGCTCTTCAGTTCCTCTCATAATCCCAGAAGATTAACACTGCACCTGTAAAAGGTCAAGGAGACTGCCAAAGCCTAGTCCCCTCCACATAAGCCTAACTACTGCAGCTTTATATCCTTCTTATGAAAAGGGACATAAGTCTAAAAGTGCGTGAGAACTTGTACAAAGACATGAGTTCACACCTGTGTAAGAGAGCGAGCAGACGTGAGTGCATGGTGTGAAGCATGGGGAAGGCAAAGATGAATTTACCGGATGAGGGAGATGTTTTTTCGAGGCACCTCTTTGAGGTCACTAATGGATGTGGTCTTTCCTGCAAAGCAGTAGTTGGGATTGTAGTCTGTCATGATAGTGGAGGTACGCAGCTTGCTCAGCTTATATTCTGGGCTCTGTAACTCCATCTGCATGGCTTGTAACTCCTGGTGCTTCCGACGATATACTAAGTATGTAGAACACAGTAAAGCAGAGACACAGATTGACTTTGGAACAGGACAGCAGCCATGCAGCACATCTCACTGGAATTTGCTGTGTGGCCAAATTTCAGTGAATCAAACCAGACAGTGACACTGTCATATTTCTGTATGTCAAATAATTACAGATAGAAAATGGAATCTGAAGTTATCCAGGAACCTTTGATTTACAACATCTTATGAAGAAACAGGTTTGCTCATGAACTGTTTGCAAGAAGTAAAATGAATTTCACTTGCAGAGATATCCGATTTCACAGTTCTGAGGTTTTTGTTTTGTTCTATTTAGTTTAACTGGACCTTCCAAGTACGAGTCCAGCTCCAAACTTGAGGGAGTCAGGGTATAACCGACTTATATCATGTAGAAGTGACTAAAATCTGAAATGAATTATTGCATCATATTGTTCAAAATGGATAGACTAAACTATTACATTAGAATAACACACTGTACATAAAACTAGCTCATTTTGCAAAACTTCCTCTGATACTAAACAACAGAGTTGGGGTAAATTTGAAATCAGTTTATGGTAGCGTTATATTCCTTGAATCACACTTCACTGATACTTCTGAAACCTCATTAGAAATCACACCTTGAAAGAAGACACCCTGTAGATATTCCCTGAAATAGCAATTGATATTACAGTATTTTTTTCAAAGAAAGATGCCAATCATGAGCAGGTTAAATCACTGTTACCCTTACTATTGATTTCTGTGGGAGCTGGATCAAGCCCAAAGACTGTGACAGCAAATAGCTATTGCATCGTTGCCAGCAGATGTTGCTCAGGGGAAGAATTTAAGGGGTAAACATGCAGGTAGACGGACGTAATGACCTATCCACAAACCCTTCCTGTCCTCCATTTTCCTCCCCATTGCTTTTGCTTTGATTTTTTAAATTGCTGCTCTTTCCTGAGATGGCAATGATAGGCTAGTTGGATGGAAAGTGGATTACTCTTCCACTCCCTGAGAAGTAGTTAGTAATTTTAAAGGGGTACTGTCAAGCCAGAAATCATACATGTAGGACCATGTGTGTGTAACTGGTAACTCCTGAAATTCTTAAAACTGAAACAGCTGTGCAAATCTAATTTAATAGTTGCCATTTGCTGCTCTGGGTACATCCCTCCCCCAGACTCTATACAGTGTGAAGAAAGAAAGGTGGCAGAGCTCTGTTTTGAATCCCTGGCTGCTTTTCATTGATTCAAATCTATTCTGTTTGCAATCGAATGCAGGTCTGCAATTGTTTAAAATAAGAAAATGAAAGGGTGAAAAATACCTTCTAGAATTTCAAATAAAGATGCCAAGAATGCCCACATCCTACTATGCAGCAGTCTGTAAAAGGGGAACCTATGTGAGAATTTCAAACTTAAATGTCATGCATTAAGAGGCTAAATCTGTATATAGGCACACAAATAAAGACGCTTGCTTTTAGTCATTAAGCACCAACAGCTCTCACAAAACCAGTGGCAACTGTGTTCTGGCAGCTTTACACTACAACACAAGCAATAACGTCTCTCTTGAGACACAGTCAGTAACTGAAGCCTCCTCAAATTGGTCATTGTGGTTAGAAACAACTACTGAAATCTGAAGTTAAGGCATGTGTGTCGGAAGGTGTCATTAAACACAGCACTAGCTAAAAACCTGAATCCTTTTGCCTCCTAGGGCCCAATTATCCCTGGCTCAGATCAAGCCCTCATATGAAAATATCTTTTGCAGAGAAACACTCACCTATCATGATTCCTGAAAAAGCCAAAATTAAGGCAGCCACCAATGCTGAAGTCACTACAGACAAGACCAAGGAGAGAGGGAGATGAACCACTGGCTCAGCTGTAACAGAGGCAGGAGAAGAAGGAATTACATATTTGAAATGATCTTCCAGCTGCCACTTTTTTCACACAGATTTTTCTGCTCTTCCTTCCATTTACTCATCGGCTGCTCCTATAGTGTAGGAGCGACCTCTGGCATGATCAGTTCTCAGGATCTATGACCTTGAATATCTCATTGTTGCACTTTCCTCAATTAATATCAAGCCCTTAAAACAGATGGTTTGCTATCAACAAATTAACATGTGCACTCCCTGGGTATGAAAACAAGACCATAAAGACCAGGGGCAGGGGGCTGGGGAGATGGAAAGAACATTACATTGCTTGGGTTAAAGTGCTGCTATCAATGCCAAATCACAGCAAAAGCTGAAGGAGGACTGCAATATATCATCTCCCAAATGCATCTAAGCCAGGCAGAAAAACCTGGTAACAGTAAGCGTAGCACAAGGTATTCCATAGCCGCATCCTCACTTGAGACCACGAGGCATTCAGAGACCATATATTAAGGTTTACTTCACCCTGGCAAAATGACCATGCTTTCTACCCATTTTACAGATGGGAATGGTAAAAATACACAACAATTTTCCCATGCTAGTGACAAAGTGGTGAGCAGGATCCCAAAACCCTGGAGTTGCTTGCTTTGACTGCTGGGCAAGAATATGAAGGAAATCTAGTAATGGAGCTCTGAGCACTTGGTTTTTCAAGTAAGGCAAGTACAGGCACTGTCCTTAGTTTTCCTCAGAGATCTCTCATGCAGAATTTCTTACAGATTCTGCACCTGCACCTTATACCCTCAAATTCACAGGAATTATATTCTCCTTCAGCTTGTACATTTTTTTTTTTGGTTCTCAAGAGGACTGACCTGAAATTTAAGTTCAGTTGGAAAACTCCTTCAGTTAGCAAACTTTCCTGATTTCACAGCAGAATGTAAGCATCAGCGCAACCAGGCGCAAAATTCGACTGCTGCCCAGTACGTCAAACATACACTGTGAAGCAAACCAGCAATGCTGCTCTGTGCACCATTCCTCAGCACTGATGTGCCTGTATCCTAGCCAAATAACGCCACTGCACATACCAGCAGGAAAGAAGGTAACATTCACCAGAAGCCAGTTTTAAGAAAGCCTAGATAACACATTCAGGATGCCTTAGAGTCTAAACTACAGATTGTTGCCATGCATTTTCTGTTTCACATGCTAGTAGCCTATCCCATACACCTACTTACCTATGCAAGACACACCATCCTCGGCCAACTCTGTGCCTGGCTCACAAAAGCAAATGACTTTTTGAGTCTCAAGATCAACACGGCACTCATCCATCTCACAGTGACTGCAGTTAAGATGCAGCCTAATATCCACTTCTCCATGCCCCTCTGTCACTAGGGAGTGGATGAAAGAAGCTGAGTTAATTACTGTAAAGACAATTCATAACACTGCCTTGGGCACTGACAGGAACAGGCGACGTGGTGGTCACAGTTGCCAGATGTGGCAGGGTGGGCCCCATCTAAGAAACCTATTTCTCCCCACTTTCCATAGCTCCTGTCTTTTTCTCATCTAGCAAATAACATCCAGGTAAATTAGCCCCACTGCAGTTGAGATGCACGGGCTCTCTCTGAGCAGACAGTCCCTATCAGGTTAGCAAGGAGGCTGCTGCTGAAGCTAAGGAAAACCTGCCCTTTCAGTGGTCTGCAGGGCTCACCCTTTTCTCTCCTGGCCTTTACTCCCTCTGAGATCAAACACTGCAATGTTTTCAAAACTTTCTGGCTGAATCTATCAGGCCAGGGTGCATCTGTATATTTCTGGCTGTTCTAAACCAAACTTTTTTTTTGAGCAAATAGATATTTTTGTATTTTCTGAACACATCACAAACATATTCAAGACACTGACTTCTGGGCAAACACAGGCTGGAGTGGCAGTATTTATCACTCCCACACACTGCTGGGCAGCACTGCACTGTTTTCTCTAGAAACTCCTTGGTCCAACCTGCATGCTTTGCTGAGGGATGCTCTAAGGAACACATTTGTTAGTGAATAGTCAGGTACTTTGCTTCTTTCCTAAATTATCTGAACTATGAGGTTCTGTTACAACTTTCCTTGGCCAAAATTATTCTATAGGCTGGTAGACTATATTGTTGGGAAGTGTTTTCTAACAGTCTTGATGTTCTCGCTACCTGCTTTCTTCCTGCTACTTCTGTTTATTCTCCATTAGACTTTGTTATGCTATCTTTCTGCCTCCTCATGTTCATGATGACACTAAGCTGTACCCAAAGGGTTGTAAGGTGTACTACAGATGCAAACTATTCTTAACATTAAATAAACCCACTAGAAGACTTCTGACCAATATGAATACCTTTAAGTGCTGGAGTGTATAAAGTACCAACTGGGTTAATGAAGGACACACCATCCTCCCCATCCATCTCTGGGTCATTGTCCACTGCAGCATTGCCACCTACATCAAACCAGAAGTTACCTTAACACACTGAGGCCCATTGGCACCAAAATACTGAAAAGCATTGCAACATGCATTACTTCAGCATATTTAGGGAGGCATCCAAATGAGAAAACAGAATAAATCAAAGTATTCAACATATAGGGATCACTTAGTGAGTTGTGACATGAACTGCTAGTCTTTAGAACTTCAGTTTAATAGCAGCTTCTGACGATCAACTCCTTAGCTCTGTTTTAGGCAGACTTGCAAACTAAGGCACAAACTTCATCTTTAAACATTTGGATGCTGTGAAACATGTAAGCCCTTCTTAAAATTAATATAGCCAAGAGACTGGAAAACACCAGTACTCAAGGGCTAAATTCAGTACCCTTGCTGATCAAGGTACATACTGTGTTAGCAGAGGGAACGAATAACCTGATATCCTTCATCTCCTTTGCACCCTGAAAGCAGGGTAGTCCACCAGGAGTGTGGACTGAAGGAATTTATGAGTTGCTCATTTGTGCTTGGGCATATGGAACATATCAGGAGCAAAGTATGGGCAATACATAGAACATATTAGAAGCATGGTAAGGGCCACATATTTTGTACTACAAGCATGCAAAGATTCCCCCACCCCACCCAAAAATGTCTTTTCCTCTTTGACCATCTTCAGTGAAATTAAAATTATGTCATGTGAGGCATTCTGTTGGAAAAAGAAGCATTACACAGTAACATTGTTAGAAAACATGCACTTAATCTTTTAAACTCATTATTTGCTCTCAGGATTTCTAGTCTATCATACACTTGATTTAAGCTGTGGAGAACCAGGGGTTAAACAGTCCACCACAGTGCAGATGGCTGAAGAAACTATGTGGCCCAGGAGATTATGGGTTAGTAGAGATCTTGAATCTGGCCCACACCAGTTATAATCAACATAATGCCATCTGACAACTGTCCTGAGACCCACAGCACATAAAATTAGCTCCTTGTTGACTGAAGCCAACACCACTGTCATTATTAAGAGGGGTCCTGGCCAGCAGCCTGAGCCTCTGCCCCCAAGGGACCACCTGTGCAGGACCAAGGCCCACCCACAGCAGGGTAGGGTAGAAGAAGCTGCTTCTTTCTCCTGGCATAAAGCCTGGCTGCCAGTCTCCAGGACCAAAGTCCTCAAAACACAGGTGCTGGCAAGGGGAGCATGTAGCCTGTGGCTCCTCCTTCTTCAGCACTATAACCCCAAAATGGAAGGCTCAAGGATCACAGCAGGATCTTGATGGCACGTTTTGCACAGTGCATAGCCAGGATTACAGCTGAAGGACTGACATCTGGCTATTTGCTCAAAAAGCAAATGCCATACGTTTATCTAGTGCTAAAAAGGCAACACACAGACATACTAGTACATAACAGTCAAATATGCTAGCTACAGAATTATCTATCAGTGTTTTGCTGATCATTAGCACTAAAGGAGGGGAAGGGACACCTTGAACACGAAGCCACTTTACCTATATATCCTCCGCCTCCTCCACCTGAGGAGCACCCCCCTCCACCCCCTCCGAAACCCCCTCTTGTCTCCCACCCCCACTTCTTCGTGGCCTGGGGGCAGGATCTTCCTCCAGTAGCACCTTCCAGCAAGGATTTTCCTGACCACAGGAAGGAAGTGTTATCATTCCAGCCACCTCCACCACCTGCAGTTAAGAGAAGAGAAAAGGCACAGATGGGGGTTATATTTGTGTAAAAAGCACTGTAGAGATCTGCAGAACAAGCACTCCTTCAAAGCACCTCAGCTGAAAGTAAGAATCTCATGCCTTGGTTAGAAGCTTGCTACACAGTGCTACGGTGACCTTTCTGTAGGGCTTTTGACCATTTTAATCATCTGCACTACTTCCACCTACCATACAACAAGTATTTTCTGTGGAAAATACAAAAAGATATCCCTGTCTGCTCCCCAACCACTAGTTTCTGGCTTACAGAGCCTTCCCCTTCCCTTTGCAAAAATTACTTTTGAAAAAACCCCATGTTGGTTCTGAAGTGGAACAAAAGGAATTTAGCAAAAGGGATGTGAAAGCATGTCCCAGCCCCAGTCTAAAGACCACATACTCACCAGTGGCTCACTTTCAGCTCTGCTGGTTGTTCAGTCCAAGGTCTCTTCACAGAGACTTCTAGTCAGGGTGCAATTATGCTTTTTCTGCATAAGCCAGGGAAACTGTGAGTATGTCTACACAGCACAAAACAGTGCAGGAAGCAGGATGGCCACATTGGCACTGCAAACTCCCACATCAAAAATCAAACAACTTTGCTTATGAGAGGTACCTCATTACCTTGGGAGAATTCTCCCATTGCTAGGGCTATACCATCTCCAATACCCTTATTTAGGCCAAGTATCCTGCAATGTGGGCACATCCTGAACTTCCAGGTTCCCCCTGAACTATGTTTTCATGGGTTTTGCCTCACCTCCTTGTGAGGAGGAATCTGGGAGTACCACATATTCACAAAGGTTTTATTTAAAAAGAATAAACTTTCCTTACCTGCAGCTCCTGAATTTCCATTCAGCCCTGGAATAGAGGAATCATTCTCCAGCCTTTCTGGATGAAATGTGTCTGTTTTGGCCCTGTAGGCCCTGCCACCACCTCCTGCTGCAATTATCAAGGGGACCGGTTCTCCATTCTCCATCTTAACAAATTCAGAAATAAAGGCAAACCGAGTCAGACACACAAATGGAAGTTCAACCACGTGCTAGTTACTGCATGTCGCACTAAGCAGGCATCTAGGACTGCTCAGTGCTACAAATTACCATTGCATTATTTATGCACCCACATCCAAAAGATTAGTAAATAGCACTAGTCCTACCAAGTTCTGCAACAGAGAACAGTGGCATCAGCGGCTCTATGAATTGTATGTACAGTGCTGATGGCTCTTAGAAAGCATGTGACGACTTTCATCAAACGAAACAGCTAAGGAGCACTGCTCCATGTAGTGCAATATAATGTCTCCACTGGTAAAGGACTGCTACACTGGAAACTGAGCATGCAGACTCATGTAGAAGCTGGGTGATCTAAACATATAGTTGATGCCTGAAAATGGGTGGATGCTTGGAATGAGTACTGTCTCAGCTAGTACACAACAGGAAAGATCAGTGGTCCTAGCTTTAGGCTTACCAACAGAAAACATACAGGCTATCCTCAACTTTTCTTATCATTGCACCATATAGGCCAAATGTGTAGCCGAAGTCTGATGTTCTACAATGACAGATTGGAATAAAGTCCTGTGGAATTTTCCCTTTGCTGTAGAATTATGCTTCAGCATCTCAGATTGCATTGAAAAAACATCCAGTTCAGACTATTATGCTTGCAAAGGAAACTCAAAGCCACTGAAGCAAGTGTGGCCATACTGCATAGCAGTTCTAAGAAGCATGAAGGGCCAGCTCAGCTCACTACATCTATCAACTGGAAATGAAGGATACCCAGAGCTCACTTTGTGGCCCCTTCCCCACAGGTGTATAAAGGGTTCTCAGATATTTCAGGCTGTGATAGCAGAGGCTAGTGGCATGATGTGTTCATGCCGAAGGCGCACAGGGACTACGTTTCCATACCTTAAATATATAAGTTGCACCTCCCCCGCCTCCACCTCCTCCTGCCCATTCATTGACACTTCTGTTCACACGTATCTCTTCTTCAATCACATTGTTCTCTCCAATGCAGACTTTCTGTATAACTTCATTAGTCTGCAAACAGAAGACCAGGTCTGAATTCTGATAAGAAATCTCCATGTCCTTGTACACACACAGGCCTCGTGGACATTTCACACTCACAAACTAATAAATTGTCTTCCAGCGAAACTACAGAAGCAGAAGAAAGTGAATGTTCCTCTAGAAGAACCTCTCTTTTTGCTTCAACCTTTGTCAGAAGAATATGTTGCCATTTTAACTGAATTATTTTGAAGCAAGCTCAGTGCTGATATCTATTACCATTTAAAACAGCTCCATAAACTTTTAACACAGAAGATGCAGCAGAATTTACTGCAAATACTTCCCAGCATTAACTACCTGTATTTAATGAGTGGGAGAAGGGAGTAACTCAGTGACAATGTGACTTGCCCCATGTCATGCAACAACCAAACGGCAGAGACATAGAGAGAATCTAAGTTTCTTTACTCTTCTTGCAGTGCCCCATTGATTTGGGCCAGGCAGACAGCGTGAATCTATCCAGAACTAAGGCGTACTGGTGGCTGATGTAGATGTACCAGAGCTAGCCAACATAGTCATAGCATGGACAGTAGCAACCAGCTCAACATAGACTAGCCACTTAATATTTATTTAGATTTCCAAGCAAGTTTTGATGTTGATCTGATGCTTATGCTGTAGCAGCAATTTTACTGTAATTACCAGTGCTAGCTAGTTCAAAGCCCACCAAAACAGCTGCAACCCACTTTTGATTGCAATGTTGACCTGATGTTAAAGAAAATACCTCACTAAAAAGCCTCCATATTTCCTACTTAGCATTTTTCCCCTCTACCAATTAGCACAAAATGTAATGAAACTTCTGCATTAAGCAAATCACTGAATCCACTAACTGATTTCAAACACATTAAACCACCATTTGTAAGCACTTCTGGACTAAGAACCTAAGAGAGGTAACTGTTGCTTTGATTTTAAATTGGAGCACTAAAGTGCATGACAAGCAGGACTCTGCTGTGAGTATTTGTAAGTTGCAAGCTTTGCTTCTAGCTTATTTTACTTTATATGTTTCATCTCAGTAACACTATCTCGCTATGCACACTGAACTCGCTAAGTCAACACCACTTTAAGGGAAAAATGGACCAAGTTGTTGTAGCAGGATTGACCTTCTTCCTTCTACTTTCATGTATGTGTTTTCTTTTGGGAGAGGAACCTGATAAAAGCGTCCTCAAGCTACAAATTATTCTGTTGACCACAAAATGTGTCCTAGGTTGTGCCAGAGAATGAATGGCATCCATTTTGTGTGTGCAGACCTGCCTACGGAACTAAACAATCCTCCTTTCCCTAGTCTTCCCTCTCCTTAATTGATTTGGAGTTGGGTGGGGATGATTAATAAAACGACAAAGTCAATGACCCAAAGGAACCACTAGATTACCATTGAATTAAAAAAAAATAATCCTTCATGGCAAAGACATAACTGATTACAATCCAATCTAGTAAAAGTCCCTTCTACAAGTCAATGCAATCTCTTTGCCTCAATGAAAGAATTACATTAGCACTCAATAAATTCTCACTAAGATTACAGTGGCCTGCAATTTAATGAGTCCATATATTACACTCAGCTGGAATGTCCTGGTTATAGACATTAGATGGAAGTTTGAGTTAGGGCATTTCTCATTTCAAAGAGGCTTCATATTAATGGTTTGTTTGCAGCCATGTATAACTCCAGTTTTAACATTATTTACTTCAGAACCCAGCCTTGAGAACCCCTCTTTCTCTTCTACATCCTTCAACCTTTCCCTGCTGTAACAGACTGCTAAGCTTTCATCTCTTGAATGCCAGCCATTAATGGTTGAGAAATGTACAGCATTTAAATGTCCAGCTCAAACCTGTAGGTGAAATTTCGTAAGATAATGCTTAGTTTTCTTCACAAAAATCTCTTATTCCCTCATCCTCCAAACAATACTAAACGATTAATAGATTATTCTGCCTGCAGATTGTGGAAGTTGCACCTTTCTGTCAAGACATTTGCAGCAGCAATTGGTTACTACCACAAAAATCAGGACTGACCTAGCAGTGATTAATTTGTCTCTCCCATTCCCATCCAGAAAGTAACCAAACAGGCCCTGTGAGGTAGGTGTCTCCACAGCTGTAGAGTACTATGACAATGGCAGGGCTGGGCTCAACTGCAGAGTAAAGAAAAAGCCCTGTGAAGTCAACCTTGAAGACTGGTCTCCAGAGGAAAGGAAGGCAAGGCTGTCTTTTCTCTCTGAAAACCCACACAGATGCTTTGAGATATGTAGATCAATCAGGAACCTGTAGTGTATTATCAATGGGGCCTGAATGTTGAAGAGGAAGTTAGCACAGTGACATGGTACTTCATTCTTTTCCCACTCATGCCCTCCCAGTAAAACTACAGCTATCCCATGAACCATAAAACCCCAAACCCCTCAAGGACAACTGTTTTCTCTGTAAACAGATAAAACTCCATGGATTTGTAGAAGGGATTATGGCAAAACAGCAAGGGCAATCACTTACACTAGGACAAGCATCTTCTCCTTGCTGTCCCACCAAGATATACAAAGTATCATCCTTCTGGAGGTCGAAAATTCCCAGCACAGACACGCCGTGGGACCGCACCATGGTGTTCTTCCCTCCTTTCCCACCAGCAGCTCCATAGCCTGAGATGCTGCAGGAAAAAGAAAACAAGAGCCTGGCACCTGAGTTGTCCCAGACAGGTGGAAGGTACTACAAAACACTTCAGGACACTGAGCGTTTTGCACACCCGAACTGTACGCAGTGTCACAGGGCTGTGCCCTGAAGACCTGACACTCTAAATAAATCTAAACCCAAAGCTGGAAGACTGAGGCTTCTCTGCTCTACATGGGCCTATGAACTTGAGTAGCCAAAAAATTGCTTCTTTCACACTGATTCTTGGGCAAACACTCACTGAGGACAGCATGAGCAAGTCCCTGTAGTTACAAACTTTAATATATGAAACACATCTTGTTTCCCAGAAGGCATATCCCTGAGAGGTTTGCAGCAAGGAAGAGAAAGAACAGAAGCAGGAGAACCGGTAAGTACAGCACATATGGCTAAAGAGAACATTAAGCATGAGATTGACAGGGGGAGATTTGAGAAAGCAGACAGCATAACTGGGTCCTAGTAGCATGGACCAGATGGGAAACAGCTCTCCTATTCCCAGGACCAGAGCAATGCAGAAGAGTAGATGGACATGACACTACCTGCAGTAAACAAGGAAGGCAAAAGCCCCCTGGCTAAACTCACAGTCACCATGAACGCCTCACTGTCTCTAGCCAGGAGTCGTTAGGTTGCATATCCAGGCTGCTGCAGCCTCTGTTAAGGCTGTGGGACTTCTATTTCAAGCAGTCAAGATTCAGAGGTCCTTACTGCTGTTGATGTACCTAAAGATTTGGATGTAATACTGTATTGCTCAGCTCCTCCCTCTCCAAGTACATAAACAATTTACACCTTGAAGCAGCTTTTATCAAAGGATTTCAAAGCACTTAATAAAAATAATGATAAAACAGCCATCTCTGCTGCAACAAAAGACAAAGTTACTCAACTTTCTGAGCAAGTGAGTGGTGGTACAGCAAGCTCAATTTAGATCTGAAATAAGCAGATGACTTTCCACTGACATTAGTAGCTTTGCAGCTATTTCCATGAGAGCAAAATTCAGCCTGGAGCACATAACCAGTGACTGCAGGGCTAAGAATACAAAACTTCCTCTCAGCTTCCTACCGATCACAGTGTAGGTGCTCTGCGTTAACTCCTCCATTTCCTCCTGGTTGGTCTTTGCCCAGCACGGTCCTGCATGTGAACAGGCTACGAGCAGAACAAACCAGCAGTGCCCATTGTGCGTGACCCCCTGAACAGGCTGGGCAGGCAGCTCACTTTCAGCCAGCAACTTGCCTTAACAATTAGCATGAGGAGCTCACCTTGTGGTACTGCTCTGAGGCAGCCGGCATGGAGCAGATCTGATGCAGAAGCAACTACGGAGCATCAAGTGCCTTGCAAAGCACGTTAGATCCTCACAATGTGACATGATTACGTTCGTGTCACTGCTGATAACCAAAGCAATCATTCCTCAGTAAGGCTGCACTGCAGCCAGCAGAAAAAGTGATGGACACAGCACTGGGTTACTCTGAACAGATGCTGCATGAAACTGAAGACTGAGTTGATTTGCTGTAGAATTTTGTAATGGCTAATGAGGTGCACTATCAGGCACAGCAAGCTGGCAGGGCTAATCAGCTGCAATTAGAGGCCATATTTTTCTGTGTATGAACAGATTTTGCATACAAGCAATGATGTCAACAAGTTCAGGAGAACCCATTTTGGCCTCATTCAAAGGCTGCAGACAAATAAAACCCAGTAGATTCAGGTGACAGTTGTTCCCTGTTCAAGATGGGTGTCACTATTTAAACAGATGGGTTAATCACAACTTCCAAGTTTTAGCAGGATCCCTTTCCTTAGGCACAACTTTCTTTTCCAAGGAATCCATTTAACCATATTTGCCCTGAAGAAAGACTCAGACCCCCTGAGTAGACATAACCAGAACACAGAATACCTTCCACTGTCTTTCTCCTTTTCTTTTACTATGATATTTTCAGGAACTGAAAAAGAAAACTGCATCTTCAGGAAGGATCAGGATAAGCAGAATGCACTGTCTGTGCAAACCAGGGCTGGAGAAAAACTCCACCTCTAAGTATACAGGTGAGGGAAAATACTGGAGCTAGCTTTGAGAATACGAGGAAATGCAGTGCCAAGGCCGGCCAACTTCTAAGGACAACTTTTTGCATTTCACTGTGCCATGTTGTTGTGCTACTTTACAAGAAGGGACCAGAGAAAAGAAAGCACAGTGGAAGTGACAACAAATGGGGCACTCAGCAAAATGGACCAAAGACTCTTGCTTTAAAAATGTAAAGAGTTCAGATAATGGATGGTAACGTGTAATTTATTACAGTTCACTTCTCTCATACTTGATCATACGCCTAGGTATGGGATGACAAGACCTTCTGAATGCTTAGAAGGAAATCTGAAAAAAAAAATTTTTTTTTCTTGCCTTACTATATTGTTACACAATGTGCAGCCCCATGGGAACAAACAAGATGATTTTGTCCTATCAGCACTGGAACATGTAGGACTCCAGTCTTCAAATGAAGCCACCTACAGCGTGTGGCAGCCTACCCAGACCTTCATAAATGGTGGGGTTTTCTGGGTGTGGTTAGCTTGTGCTACTAGAGTTTTGTGTGAAGTCGGGCTTTCTATCTTTGCATTTTAATAATGCACATTCTGCCTCATGTTCACACAATCTATATCCTTCTTACACAATTATTTGGAATGTACCTCACTGCTCTACTTTACACAGTGTAAAATGCACTGATATGGCATAACAACAGCTTTCTTAAGTGCCCAACAGCCAGCTGGAGGATTTTATCTCTGGGTCAGGTATATTGGAGACGGCTATCAGGCTAACTTACAGGACCCACAGTGCAGCAGGCCTGCAGGGGAGAGCTAAATACAGGCAGTGGGTCCAGACTCTGGAAAGCCCTAAAATTGATATTACAATCTGACATTTTCCTAGGGCTATGCTATACTGGGGGACTCTGCTGCCCCTTCAGCAGCCCAGAATCAAGAAGATGTCAAGTTAATTTATGTTCACAACTGCCTCCTCCTTTCCTCAGGCTGTGAATTCTCTACTACAGCCTTAAGAGGTGCAGCAGAAAATGTAATCCATGTATATACAGGTTACCAATGACATTAGCCATCTATTATCTATACAGAACCTAAAAGCCTGTTAGGTCATTTATAGGACTTAAATAGACAGGTCTTCCCTGCAGGACCAGTGGTTTGTATTGTGTAGCAAAAATCAGCCTACAGTTGCACTGGAATTCTGGCTCTTCTTGGGCTGTGATATTAAAGAAATGACAATGTTCTAAGTTTATTGCCTCTCCTCTTTTGGGCTACGCTTTATAACCATATTTACTGAATACCTGTCCTGAAAAATTCTATTCACCTCAGGCAACTCATTTTTGATAGCTGAGTAAAATATCATTAACGTTTTTTCATTACCATCAATCCCTGTGGTAACAGACACCCAGGCAGAACTTGTGCCTAACCTAGCCTAGCCAGTTTCTCAAAACTGCTTTGCAGTAGACTTCCATTATAGACTGACATCTATCCTCAACATCAATAATATTTTTCAATAAAAAGAAAAAAAAAGAAGGTGCCAGTAAGTTTTAACTGAAATTTGTTCAAAGCCTTCAGTGGAATGTTGTTCTTTGAAATGCATAACACCATCACTGGTTTCAATAGGCAACGTTGCATAAAAAAAACACCACTACACAGTCATCGATTCAAAGACAGTTCTGCATAAAAACTGATGCATGTAATGGCTTGATGTTACCATTCAGATACAGTGAACTAAACGTTGATCATACTTTTTTCCCCAGCAAGAGCAAAAAGAAAAAATGATTGGTAAAAATCTGATTAAGTGGCATTGAACTGTACCTGATCGTCTCCCTTTGAAAATAACTCCACAGAGGGATTGAAGCATTAGAACCTTCAGTATCACAGTACCTAACATTTAGGTGGCTGGCTTCCAAAATCAATTCTACAGTGGTAAGTCAGGCTTACAGGCTCAACTTATCACACATGGATTCTAAACAGTGAAGATGCTGAGCACAGCTTGATGCAAGCTGTCCCATAAGAAATGCTGACATGCGATTGTGCCTCCTATACCAGCTGGAGAGGGAGAAAAACTCAGTTCTGATTCCAGAATTCAATGCATGGCATATGGGATATGGATGCCCCTTGGCCTGGAAAGGTCAAACCACTCGATTTTCAGTTACTTATAGAGCTCTCCCAACCTGTAACCATTTAGGCTCAGATGGTTGTTTCTCTCTCTGTCACCAAAAAGTTGCATCTTTCAGACAAGGAATCTGAGACTGGAAGGATTAGAAATCACAGGATTAGGGAGAAGTAAAACCCATGTAGATCTGGCCAAACTTCTGCATATAATACTTCATATATGACTAGCATGTATTTGCAGCTTGGAGAATTTTCAAATGCAAAGATATATCATGACAGTAGGAGATGGTTCCCTCACCTGTATGTGTTGGTTGCTGGTACTCTCCAGATCTGAATGCCTTGGAGAATCCCTTCAGCTCCTACAATCACACTGAGGTTGGAGTTCCTGTAGGCATCATTGCATTGGCTCTGTGTGGGGCCATAGGGTCCACTGGCACCACACGTCGTGAATAACCAGTGATCTGAAATGAGGACATATACCAAGCATGATCTGAATATCCAAAGATCAAGTAGCTGTTCTCTTTATTTGCTCTCTCTTGTTGGACCAAGAGAAGAACCTGGCCCCTGAGGTTTTAGCCAGAACAGAGTTCTTTAAAAAGACTCATAACACTGTGTATTTCCTGAAAGCTATCACAACTATGAACATAGCTTTACTTTTTCTAAGGCTCAAAAAGACAAAGATCATAGAATAGAGTAAAATGCCACACAGACCATCCAGTTTTGGGCTCTGCTCTCTGGGCTGCTGAAGTGCACACTCATGACCGCAAGACTGGTGCACTTTAGCCCTTTCAGTTGCTACAAACATTTGATTATTGAATTTATTTTATATGGGAAAGCAGCTATTAATTACATAAAAACCTGTAACATCATCTCAGTGATTAAAACATAACAATAAACTAATTGTATTTTGAATATTTATTTGCTTACAAGAGATTCAAGTTAAGCTTCAGAAGGCAAAATACCTAATGGAGGCCTGTTTAAACAAGCATTCAACTCTGAATGTTCTAGGCCAGTTCTACCACTACTGTTACTGGAGGCGTTCACTCACCAGAAATACCAGTTTAGCCACAGAAGGTCTGAATTACCTTTTCATGAAATAATACTGAAGTTGAGCTAAATTCCTTCTTTTAAAAAGTTCAATGCATGAAACAGATAAAGTAATTTGATAGGACTTTAAGAAATAAACTGGCCGATATTTCTGAAAAAAACTTTGGTAATACAGTCTTGGCTATTCCAAGAAGCAATGCAAAAATACTACTTTAGGAAAGCTTCCCAATCTAAATACTGCTGAGAGAATAATCTCTTTCTTCATACTGCAAAATCTATGCCACCCCTCCTCAAAACTCCTCTCCAAGGGTCCTCTAGAGATTTTGCTACTGTTACTTGTTTTATATGGATACTTACATACTCATTTTACTTACTTCTCCAATCCTTCTGCAATGGGTGGCAGTATAAAGTCCTAAAATTAGCAGATAGAAAATGGAAGACTGCCCCTCTCCTCCTCTGCCTCCAATGCACTCCCAAAAACCCCAAGAAAACCGGTAAGAGGGCAAAACCACCTAAGAAAGCAAGGTCTAAAAGTTCCTAAAGCAAAATGCTTCAGTAGCTCTGATATCATCAGTCTTGCACGAGAAGTTACTTATGTTTATTCTTGCAAAAAAACCCCAAACAAACAAAACCAAAACCAAATCCAAACCCAAGGCAAAATCTCACACAAAACGGAAGATGAGAGACTCATTCTGTCAGCTATCACAGTAATTTAACATTGCAATATCCCAGTGGGCTAAGCCACCTGCACTGAAACATATGTTTAGTAAAGCAGGCAGGTAAGCGTCTTCGTTTGGAACAATAAGAAGCCATTTGGATGTCTCCAGTGAAACATCAAACATGTTCCCAAAGGCAGAAGCAGGTGACTTTCAAGGGGACAATAAGCTCAAAACATGAGAGAATCAAAATGGAAAACTGGAAGTGATAAAACCTAGGACAGACCACAGCATGTGCATCCTGCTGCTATGGTTAAGCTTTACATTTCCGATTTTTCTCCCTTTAAATGAATCTCATTCCTTAGATATCGGCTTACCTGGCCTTGGCAAAAGTATCTCTAGACTCACACATGTAACACACAGCACAGCTGGACCTGAAACTGGCAGCTCTTGATTCCCAGTGGGTGCCAGGGACAGGGGATCAGCGAACTATGTGTTATTCCAAAATGCTTTTTAATGGCCCTCTGTTTCCTTAAAAGCCCAATGCCCTGGTGGAACAGAAGAAAAAATGTCCTCCTGCTGCAAACATTATGCCTTCAGACTTTGAACTGAAGCAACCAGAACAACTTTTATATTTTCTGCCTCTTAGACAGACTAGAGGGGGCTCATTTCCAGTGCAGAGGCGGTATCAGGGTAAGAGCAGACAGTGCTGGTAACTTAAGATTAGTGAATGTGCATCTAAGCTCTTAGAATCTGTCTTTCAAGAGCATGAGAGCACGAGGAATGAAAAACCACAGATGCGTTTTGCCATGGAGTATGACATAAGGAACCTGGAGATGACTGAGCACAGGAGGTACTATCTTGGATTGCAAAAGCAGTCCTGTGGTAATAGATACAGTGGTATATACAAGTTCACATGTAAAGCCTCCGAGGTTCTGCAGCTGCTGTAGTCAGTGCTAGCAGACATATCTACTTGCTTTATTCAGGTAGATGGTAGTCAGGAATGGGAGAAGACATGTTTCAGAAGTAGCAGCGCTGGGTAGTGACCTTTGCCCAAAAGATAGCAGGAGGAAATCTGGCCCAAGTGAAGTCCATGGGGAGACAGCACCCCGTTTAAACCAGCAAGAACTTCAGTAAAGCCTATAACCAGGCGTTGCACAATCTCCTCATTTGTCACCGCTGCCTGGACTTGCAAACAGCCCTCCTCCTGTTTATATGCACTTTCATATGTGATACTGAAAGCCAGTCCCACACATAAGAGATTTGTTGCTGAATTAAACAGGACAGAATATGGCATGGGAAGAAGTCGCCCCTCATTTCAACATAATCAGGACAGATGGGTCTTAGTTACTGTATCTTCTGGATACAGACTAAAGACCTTGCACATCGCTCCCTCTGCTCTCTTAAATGTTTCACAAAGCCAACCCTCAATTTGCAGACGTAACAGTAGCCCAAAATCTTAAACCACTCACCCAGTAACAAAACAGAGTACTGCTCATCCTAGAAAACCCACCGCTTCTTTTTTTTAGGATAAACATTCACTCCCTGTAAAGTATTGATTTTCTCCTGATTCTAGAAATGACTGCAGGAGGTCTCACGAGCTCAGAGAGCATTTCTACAGGTTGCTGCATGCCACAGCAGTTTATGGTAATTCAATCTGAAGCATTATTTTGATCTCCAAAGACACTGAATCGAAAGTCCTTAAGCGGCCAGGTGAGAAGCATAGATTTTTTCCATCGGTGCAGAACTGTGGTCTGTCACACACTGCATGGCAGACCTCCCCTTCTTTCTGCAGTGTGCGACAGGCTAACATTGCCAGAACTGCACACTCACACGACGGGAAAAAAAGCAGGACTCTCCAGTCTAAATCTTCCCAAATGACTAGCAGATTTTTGAATTTTGCCCAACTTTGCACAAGCTACAGATGCCTGGTTTCCAGAAACAGCTGAGCATTCCCATGATGAAAATTAACAGGTAGTTAAATGTAGGGTCCCTATGTATTCTGTCATTGGCAGTTACAAGACGCTAACTGGGTTTAAAAACTGGAAATGCCTGTTTAAGGCAGTGGGAAAAGAAGATTACACTGAGATTCACAATTGAGGCACAAATTTCAAGGAATAATTTATACATCAGTCCATTTGGTGGAATCCCCACTTCCACAAGAAACGTGGCAGATGAAACATTTGGTCTTCTGCCTGTTCACCCACACACCTGCCCTCCTCAAGCTCCCTGGCAAACTCCACAACACGTTGCTAAGGTCCCAGCGACAACATTTTAAGAAAAATGCCCTTTTGTCTCTATTAAAACAGATTAAAAAAAATTTCCCTTTTCCCAACTCTTCTTTCCAAATCAGATTTATTGATATATTTACATATGCAGTCACTCATGCTTATTTCCTTTTGCACAGCAGAAATTGTAGTCTTTATACAGCTTGGCTAGATACATAAAATGCACAGCAATCAAGGCACTGGATTTCAGCCACAGCAAAGGGGAGTGATGTCCTGCTCTTGGAAAACAAAAAGACCAAAACCCCACAAGACTTAAAATGACTAATTAATTTGAAGCTCTGACACTACTTGCAGCCTGAGGCAGCACTGCTGCAGGCACTGCTGCAAATAACAACCAGCAACAATGAAGAGAAAACAGTGGAGCAAAGCCTAAAGCACATTTGTATAAGACAGAAAGCAATTTCAGTGGCACACATAGCACATAAACTCTGTATCACAAAACAGACACAGGCATTTTAGCTATACCTCAAGGCCCCAAATGTATTAACTGGCATTTGTTAAATTAAGGTGGTTTGAACCGAGGTTCAACTCATTCCAAACCAAAACTTTACTGTGATTTGAGAAAATTACCAACCAAGCACCATGCTACTTGGTTTGTTTTGGAACCTAAAGTAACGCACAAGTGGAATGCATTGGTGCTTTAAAACAACGTGTAGGCTTACTGCCACAATCTCTGTTCAAGCCAAGAGGTTATTCCTACTTCCAACAGAGTAAAAACAACATCAATAGGGGCTAGAAGGTCTCCTGCCTGCTTCAGGGGCATAAGAAACCCCGTGGCTAAACTTCTAAGGCCACTAATTCTGTTAGCTGTCCCTCAGGGAGTTCATTTTACTTCTTCCTCTAAGGCAGATGTCATCAAACTTGATGCCATGAACAAGCAGAACACTTGCTTCATTTATTTGTAAAAGCATTCACAAGCTCCCTTACAATATTTGACCAACATGGGAAATCAAAGGCTTACAGGAAACTCCCCATCTTAATCTTCACTTACATTTGGCTGCCATTGGCACCCTGGTAGGTGTGGAGGGATATACCTTTTATTCGGTGCATGAGCAATCTCAGTTATGCATCACCAGTAATTCCAGGGTTGGTTTGTGCTGAAAGTCTGTATGCAAAATATACTACAAGCATATATAAAAACATGTTCAGTGATGTAAGGAAGTAAAGACCTTTCAATTTTGCTTCGGGTTCTGTTGTTTAACAGTGTCCTATGAGCAGTCATTTGAGACTATTGTCTTTTCCAGGACTAAGTTTGTCAGAGATTAATGGAGTGCGGTGGGGGTTTGAAAGATGACGGTAAATGTCTCACAATTACAGTGTCCCCCCCAGGTAAATATGTCTACACAGCTATATTAATGGGATATAAAATGATCACAGAAATTAGTGAGTCTTGTCAGCAATACCAGAACCAGTTACACAGGTATGGCTAGACTAAGAGGAGACTGGCTTTTCAACTATTTATGGAGATAC